CTTTTCAGATTCCAATTCTTTAAACTAGGAAACCTCACGAAAAGTTAGTAAGTCGCATATCTAATAATAAGACAAGAAAATAATGAGACAACCGCCTTATTATCCATTTATTGTCGTCGATTAAATAATTCACCTGTTTTATGTCGTTGACAACTTTCTCGAATCTTCCATCATCGTTCAATATTTCTCCCAAATCAGTGTTGCTGAGATCATTCAACATCGACAATGCAGCTAGAATATCCATAGAAATTGATGAATTTATTATTAATTCATTATTATTTATTATTAATAAATGTCATGGTTATTTTTTGATTCCAGGTTTTCAAATCATAACAATTTCCCATTCATTGACTTAGTGGATTAGGCCTACAGGGGATAGGACTTAAAAAAAACGCGTCAAGGACTCTACCTCTTGGGTGATGTGGAAAGAGTTTCACTTTAATTACTTGATTTATGAAAAAATAGTCAATAGTCTTTTTTTTTTCATGTCAATTTGAAAGAAAAAAATCAAACGACTCGACTGGCATTCAAATGTAAACGCCAGAAATCGCTGAATGGTGGGGACGAAACGCACATGAGGAGAAGGCGTTATACAGCGCTACGTACGACGTCTGAAGGTACTTGTCCCCTGTTTTGGTGTCGGCGACATCAAAGCTTGGGAATACCTCCCTGTATCATACCTTAGACACCCCCATTGCGTATGGCGCCCTCCCTCTCTTGGGGTGCAGTACTACGATGTCGTTGGGGTCACTCCAACCCCCAGAAGTGAGCCTCTACTTTAGTCAATCCTCTTTGGTACAGATAGAGGTTCAGTCAACGAGGATAACCTTGGGGTGAGATCCGCAACGAGGGGTTAATGTTCCCCTGGGCTCTTTCGTACCAACCCCACATGAGGGAGGGCACGACGATATTTTTTCTGAAATAAAGGAAATCTTTTGAGAGCTTGTGAAAGTTCGCCTTTTTAGGTGCTCATATCAGCTGTTAAGGGGGCTACCATCACAGGGACTTTTTCTGTATCAGGAAAAATAAAAAATGATAGAAATAGGGTAGGATAATAGGATCCTATTTGGTGAAACTATTAGAGTTGTCTCTGGAGGGGTTTTGCCATCAATATTCGAAGATTACGACTCTACAACTTGCAGATTCCGGGGTATTTAGCCATCAGTTCCTCGAAATGTGACGTTAACAATTATTATTCCAAACTTGTAGTTATCTTTTTACATTGTCCAAAAATAATCATCGAAAGTGTCTTTCACCAAATCAAAAATATCCATAAAACATTCATAGAAAAATCAAAAAGCAGAAAAAGTTCTAGACTTCCTCGTTCCATATCCGAATAAATATCTAACGATCTGAAGGAAATGGAGAAATTTTTATTGAAAACTTGGCTTACCAAACTTTCCGTACCACACAAAGATCAAGAGATATTCCTGAAAGATTCATCCAAAATCAACTGAAGCAACCGGTTGTTTCGGGTGATTATTCCCGAATCAGTCGCAGATAACAAAATATTTATTAAAAACTTTTTGTAGCTTATTTCTCCCTTTGCAAAAAATTCCAATGAAAAATTTCGCCATGTCCTACAGATCCAGAGATATTCCCGTAACCAAGGGTTGTGGTGTTGATTAGTTGGGCGAATTGGGTCAGGCTTTCTTTTCACCGCCAATTGAAGATTTTTCACTGACTATTGATTTTTTTCCGGGCGTTTTATAAATTTTATAAAAAATAAAACATTTGGAAGGTCGCGGATGATCAATTTTTCGGTTGGAAGACAATTTCCAGTGGTTGTTTTTTTTTCAGAGGGTGGGGGGGTTTCGGTTAAACTTGCATCTGTCGTTGAGACGTGGTGGGGGCTGAACCTCACGTTACCATCAGAACACGTTCTAGTTGATATAGAGTCTCGTGCAATTGCGTCACAATATTTGTTTACATGTGAATCAAGCAAGGAATAATCGTTGAAAGTTGTTACATGTTGCTGAGTTCCGGGTTTCAGAGCTACCAGTGATTAACAAACGCTGGATAAACCTACAAATAGCCTCATATCATTAATATCAATTGGAATATACACCAATTATTGTTCCTGAACAAACTGTTTCGCTATTTGACTTTGTTCTGTTATTTTTTATTCTTAATAAAGATAGTGTGCCCGATTACCTGTTTGGTGCTGCGAAAATCATCTCATGGGAGAATCTGCGAATTTTTGAAGGACGATGGAACATTCTGGAGTGCGTAGTTGCTGAAGGGCACGTCCCTGAATTTTGCCACTTGGATGCGCCAATTTAGGAGAAAATTTTGAAGATTCAACCAAGTTTTTCGACTTTTTTCACCCGACTTTTCCTCGGGATTTTGTGGTTTTGTCATAGAGTGTGATAACATGGATCTTAGCATTGACACCGGCAATTCTGAAAATTTCGAAAATGCGCGGTAAAGATACGATGAACACGTCATTAGGATTGGCACGTGAATACGGTGAGTGACTCGTGTGTTCAATAAAAAATTCTATGACCCTCCAAATCGGTTTTTTCTTCATTTCATTTTTTTCACTGTCGTCCATTACGAAAATTATGACATGTTTATTATAATTTTGCTGTCCGGTGAAATCGTCATCTTCGCTGTTTTTTTTTTTTTTTGACAGGAAGAGGAGTTTGCCGAGTCAAATATCAGACACTTCCGATGTCAGTAATTACTCGAATTGTAATGTCTTTTCATTGTTTCTATACAGATTTACATCTGCTCCCACCACAATATTCTCTATTTTATCACTTTTATCTTTGATGAGGGAATAGAAAACGAGATGAAGAGTAAGAAAAAACGATAGAAATTTAAAGAAAGTCGAGCATAAATCCAAAATCTACAAGGCAGTGATAAAATAGGATAAGTGCATTTTTATCGAGGCCAGTTTTTAGCCAATATCTTGGGATTGGGGAAACAGCAAATTTTTTATCGAACATTTTTTTATAGAAAAGGATGAGAGCTACCGAAAAGGTCCTTATGAAAAATTTTTAGCTTCCTTCAATTTGGAGCCACTGGGTAAAAAATGGCGTTAATAAAAATGCACTTATCGTAGTTTACGACATGCGATTTAGGAAGAAGTAAGAAAGCAAGAAAAGCATCAATTGCACAACGTTCTATCAGACCATCGGGGCAAAACACCAATTTTCATGTTCCATACCTCTGATTTGGTAAACTGAAATTCAGAGAGAAATCGGTCGATGAAGATATCATTGGGGCTTCGAAACAAAAACAAATTCACCGAAGTCGAATTATTAAATCGTAATCACTAACGAAGGAATCCCCGTTTTATCCTCTGCTCGCCCCTCGAAGAAAAAGAAAACAAGATAAGAATGTTGCTAAGTACGCAAACAATACAAAAAAAACTGTCGCCATACCAACAACATAATTAATCTCTCCCGCAAGCTAAATTTGAAAAAACTTTATCTATAAAGAAGAGCTTTTTTAAATAAAACTTTCAAAAGTGGATCAACTGGAGACCAATGTTCTGAGTAAAAAAAATCGTAAGTTGTTGTCAATAATTTCACTTTCCCGTGAATAATTTGGTAATAATTTGTTTCACCGGGTTTTCCATGAAAATTGACAAATCGGAGAAAGGGAAAAAAGAGAGAAAACATGAAAAAATGAAAATTATAAGGAAAAATTGGAAAGGACATCGAACATACTGTTAAAAAATCAGTGAGGCTATTCGTGTCGAAGTAAGTTTCAAGTGAAAAAATGGCATTTTGAGAAATACATCTCTACTTATTGTATTAAATTAGACAAAACGGGAAAAATAATAGTACCAACATTTATAAAACGACTGTCACACTTTAACAATATGTCCCCATAAATTCATCGATACAATTTTCAACTCAAATTATACTTTGCACGTAAATCATCTGATTATTCTCTCCAACATAAACATTACAATATTAAAATCGTTTGCTTTGGTAGTTCGTTTTCACCTGAATAATGATTTATTCAATTCCATAAACCGCGATCTCAGTCCATCCCTAAATCCCCACAATCACAACCTGAACTCATAATAATGTTTTCCCTAAATAAATCATTGATGAGCAAAGTGCGGATTGAATTATTCGATTGCATAATTAATTTTTATAAATTTGTGTATGTCCTTCACATTCTGGCAGTAATTTCTCATTTTATTTTGAAGTAACTTCTAACCTAGACTCAGCTATAAATTTTTTTTCAATTCTATGAACGAATTCTTTCCAATTGCATTTTGTAATTTGGTCAATCGTTTGTCGTAATGAAGACGTATTTCTTAAAAAATATTTTTTTTTTCTGAGAATAAAGTTCTCGGCGTTACCATGAGGTGTCAGCATCGTTGATTCCCCTTTTCCCCCCCTTGAAGCCACCCGTTTTCACGGCCTTAGCGGCCACCATTGTTGGAGTCCTGCATTTTGCTTGATGCCCAAATAGTGTTGGAAAATTTTATAATCACAAATTGAACATCAACCACCCAACAATCGGTGGTTAATCACCGACACGAGCATCACCACAATATCAAAATTTACTGATACAATAGTTTAATCATCAACAAGTAGCCCCTCCGCAGTGTCTTGGAGGTGAGGTTCGTACACTCCCGAATCACCCCCTGGAACAGAAATAATAAAATAGTGATAAAATCGTAAGTTAATTAAACGTATGTGAGATGATACTTGTGGTTTTTTTCACCTTCAACCTTTCACGGCAAGTGCGAGTTGTGAAATAGTGACTGGGGCCACGTTTTCATTTCCCAACTTCATCTGCTCCAAATGGTAATCAAATGATTCAGTGAAGTGAGTGGAAGTTGGCTGAGTGATTGCAAGATTGAGGGATTCGATTCATCGGTTATTAATGTTCTTCAACGATACGATAATTTATTGTTCAGCTATTCTTCTCGTGGCTTTCGTTGATTTTTTATGGCTCTTGGGGAAATAGTGTGGCTTTTATGGTCACCGGGCCCTGGCTAAATCTCACAGATAATTCCCATGTGTGCGTGCGTGTCGGTGCGTCCTTTCCAATTTTTTCCAGCTTTTCCAGGATGAAAACTCGTGGAAAATCATGGAGAAATTGGGCAACAGCTCTCGGAGATTTTTCGATTTTTTTTCCTGGGATTTTGGAGGTCGAGCTTGTGGAGAGGAATTGAGTTTTAAAGTACGCGTTGGAGGCAGTGGAATGAGGAAGTGAGATGGATGGGAGTGAGACTGCGATGAAAGATTCATGTGAGAGTATGAAGGAGAGGAGAGAATTAATTGTTGAGAACTGATGTTTGATGTTCGGGGGTGGGATTGAGGAGATTTGGAGGGAAATTTTGAGTGGATTGGTGAGGGGGTGGGTCGCGTGGTTCTCGAGGGGATGGGGATGGCGTTTGTGGACTTTTATTTTGACAACGCAATCCTATGATAATCACTCGGTGCCGCACCTTTTCCCCCTTTTTTCAAGCGTTGTCCATTATTTTGACAACTTTTTTCCTTGACGTTGAAGTTGTTTTCCTGATGCCAGGGCTGCGGGGCAAAATGGAGAGCTTTCCCAATTTTTGTTTTACCTCTATTTTTGTAATTCAGTCGGTTCCTCAGGGAGAAGCGTGTCCAATTTTTATCGTCATCCTTGATTAAATTGATTTTTATCGGAAGACTCTTCTGGAGCTTTCTAATGAAGTCTCTGCACTCGATCAATGAATTCATTCTTTCGTCGTGATTTGTCGTTCTCAAGTCTTTGAGATTTTAATCAACATTTATCAAGCATTATGTTAAAGTATTTGTTGTGACGTTAGAAATGCACGTATTCATTTTCAGCATAATTTTTAACGATTTGTATTCAATTTTTATTAAAATGTTGGAAAATTTCCGTGGGAAAAGTCAGATAAATTCAATATAAAACGTAATGCTATTTCATACACCATCGACTGGGGTTTTACATTGAGGAACAGTGATAAACTACCTAGCTGTGAAAATCAAATGATTATTAATGCTTCATATTTCATTAATTGATTTAATATTTTGTAATAATATAATGCAACAATAACATAAAGAGTAATTTCCATTGATTGTTCAATATTGACAATTATTGAGACAGTTTACAATTTTGAAGACATGAATTTTGATTTTACCTCTTTCGAATTAACGATCTGATAATTATTAATTTCTCAAATATTATTGCCCGTTCTTCGGTGATTTCAATTCTAATACGATATTTTTGTCTGTTAAATTTTTCAGAACCACCATTGACTGATTTGCGAGTGTCAAATCTAGGAATTGACCAAACGCACTGCCCAGAGCTTCCAGACCCTCATCTCGATCACATCATCGGCCAGCATGGTGTGACTCGGTGTCCACCAGATCCAGCCCTTTACAATGGGCTTCAATATCCAGGATACGCGCCAAACTGGGCGCTTCCAGCAGCCTACTGGGACTCCCTCCAGAAGCCGCTGATCCTCTCGCCACCGATATCACCAGAATTCCAGTGCCCCCTGGACGCCCCACTGGATCTAAAGGAGCACCCCCAGAAGCCAGAAATTCCCCTGAACTACTCAACTCTCTACCCCTCCAGTGCACCTCACCTCTCTCACCACCCAAGCCTCCCCCTTCCCCCTCTAAATCTCCCCAAACTTTCCCCCACATTCCCAGGCCCCCACTCCCATCCCAGGACCCATAAAAAGCCCACGAGAATTTCGAGTTATTGCCAGGCCCCTGAAAATTTCCATCAATCCCAGACCTTACTCGACTGGGAGGACATCGAGATGTCAGGGCAGTATCCAGGCCACAGCAGACCTCCAGTGGGCACTCCCCCCCCTCAAACAGTCTGGAACCACTTGACAATGACTCAGGGTTCAGGACTAAACCTACACCCTACAGCGCTCACAGGATCTTCCCTCAATCCAGCCAATTTCTACACCCACCCCTCAATGACGAGATCTAGCCATCTAACACCCCAGTTAGCCCACACTCAGGCTCCACCGACCTGGCACACCCCCACAGTCCCCTCGAAATCCGTCAATTCGTCAAATCCCCCGGGGAATCCCCTCTTCAGTCTTCAGATGTTGGTGGATAATCGTCAGAGCCAAAATCAATTTCGTGTTTCACCGGGTGCCCAGAGCACACTGGATCTCTCATCGACGTCAGAACTGCCTGAGAACTACTCTCGACTGCCCCAGGACATCCCCATCAGCCTGACAGCTCGATCACTAGACAAAAGCTCAAGAAATGGCAATATAATATCGCCACCAATTCCTCTGAATGGTGAGACCTCCTCGGACTCTGGAATATCATCATCAGTGCCCACTCCAAACTCCATAAGTGAGCCAGTATCTTTGTCTACGAAGGAACCCCTCACAACCCCTAAAATCAGTGTCAAGAATTTCGAGAGTAATCTCAAGGGTGTAGCCAATCTTCATGATAAGATTAAAGAACTCAGTGCTGATAATTTCACCCAGAAGGTCATTAATTTACCTCCTAGTGTGACGATTGAACGAGTATCTGGGGATAAGAAGGAGGAACCAGTTAAAATTAAGGATTCGTTGAGTGTTATACCTCAGGGGCGAAATGTCATGCCAGTTATTGTGAATTTAACGTCGAGGTTGGATAAGGATGTCATCGACAGCCCTAGGAGGGAGCCATCGAGTGAAAGGGATCGAAAGGTAGAGGAGTTCAATGTTAGATCGCCGAAGAATCTTCCTAAGAGGGGTAAGAAGGGGGTGGATTCGCTGCTGGAGAAGCTGGAGGGTGGAAATAAGAAGCTGGGGACTGAGAACATTGGATCGGTGATTGTGATGCCTATAGAGGATAACAGGGATGCATTGAGTGTCAAGAGCATGTCACCCGAACGTTTTGACAAATCCAAGTCACCCACGAGGGAAGACGACGTGGTGTCGCCAGCTTTTAGCAATGACGACTCCAATGACAACACCAAGCAGAGGAGAAAAAGAAAATTGGAGAAACCCGTGAGGCTGAGTAAAGACTCCAAAACAGAGGTTGAGGATATGGAGCTAGAGCCAATTGAACCCAGGGACATATCGAGGGTCTCCGAGGGGGTGGTTGAGGAGAGACAACCACCTCAGGCCTCACCAGCTGGCTCCAAGGCTGGCGAAAGTGAAAAGGAGAATAGACTAATTCAGAGAGCTGATGCAACTGATGCCGAGGCCAGGGAAAAGAGTAAGGATGAGGAGATTTCAAAATCTGAAGAGAGTGAACCAGTGAGAAGGAGAAGAAGCAGTGAAGGATACAGTGGGAATCCCACATCCAGGAGTCCCAGGACGAGGAGAAAATCCAGTGACGATGTCTCAGAATTAAAAGGATCGAGTCCAAAACGCCAACAGAATGCTAATCCTTTCAATGAAGTTGAATCAGAACTCGAGAAAATGTTTGCTGGGATCGTAGAACCGGAGAGTGAAGTGAAGAAAGAGGAGGTGAAGTCTGAGATTGTGCCAGAAATAAAGAGCGAAGATATGAAGATCGAGGTTGATGAGAAGGTCGAACCCATCGACGTGGACAAGTCGTCTGTCACGTCTACTGTTGAGGCCAAACCTCCACCCAAGAGGGGGAAAAAGGGAAGGGGGAGAGGGAAAAAGAGGAAAGTTGCGAAATCAGTGGATCCATTATTCTCGGTTGATGATCTTCCGGTTAAAGAGACGAAGAAGAGAAAAACGCTGAAAGGTGGCAAAAAGCAGGATGTTGGAAAGAAAAAGAGTAAGAACAAAAATTTGAAGACAGACGGGGTGAGGGAAATGGCGTATGATTCTGGGTCCAATGCGAGTTCAATTAGGTCTAGGGGACCTGTGGTGCATGTGGAAGGACCCAGGGACAGTCCTCTTAGTGTTCAGGTTGTCAATGCTCCAAGGGAGGAGGAGGAGGAGAAGAGCAAGGAGAAGAGGAAGAGTGTGGGTAATGGAAGTGCTGGGAGGAGCAAGAGACTGAGTCATCAGAATGATTTAGATTATCGTGGGAAGGTGAGCAGAGCTGGATTGTTCAGTTCTACTTTGTCTTCTCGGTATGATGCACATACGACTGACTCCACGTGGATATGTGTGTTCTGTAAATTGGGGCCCCATGCTGTAGTTCCTGGTGATCCTGGGAGGCCTCATCCTAATTTGGCTGGGCCGCATATTGCACCTGGAACGTATGTCGTGCCTGCTGGAGTTCTCAGTGATCTCTTTGGGCCTTATCTTATTGGGAATGAACGTCTTGAGGATGGTATTCTGTCTGCTGATGAGCAGGAGATCAATACTGAGCAGAAAAAGGGGGGGAGGAACAAGAGGAGCTTGAGGCATGCTGGGCTAGCTGATCAGTTCACGGCGAAAATGGGAAAGAAGAAGAGGAATTCAGTCGAGATTAATGCCACCATGATCTATTCTGGGATGACTCTTATTCCTGGGGAGGAACAGCGATGGGAGGTTTGGCTCCATGAACAGTGCGCTGTTTGGGCTGCTGGGGTCTATCTCGCTGGTGAGTTCATCCTCAATTCTGAAATTCTATGGGAGTATAGGGGATACGAGAGAATTTATTTCATTTGTATAATTTTCATCTTCACATTCCAGCAAATTACAGTAATTAGTTTGAAAAAAAAAATCAAGTGCAGACTTCAGGATATTTAAATTCTGGATGAGTTACACCGGAGAGGAAGCGAGGAAAATTGTTAGAGTATTGGTAAATTCGATGGATTGATCAAATAATTTGTACTTTCAAGGTGGAAGAGTGACTGGACTCCAGGAAGCTGTGTGGGACGCGACAAAGTCGATTTGCAATGCCTGTGGGTTGACTGGGGCCAATATTGGCTGTGTGAAACGTGGCTGCAAAGCTGTCACTCATTACCCCTGTGCGCTGACAAAGGGCTGGCTACTGGACACCAATCAGTATATACCGAGGTGTAATCTGCACAGGGTCACGTGAAATAAATTTCAACTCTCTTCAGACGATAACAAAAAAAAAACCAAATGAATAAGCAGCGAATTTCATTCGTGCTATGGACATTTATGAATTTCGTGTAAATGTACAGTGAAATTTTGTACATTTCTCTTTGTTTTGGATAATGAAGAAGAAGGGAGGGATTAATTTTTGGGACATGAAGCCCCAAGAAACGATCAAACTCGAGTGTGTGATAATTGTTCTGAGAATGCGAGGAAATTCAACATTTTTGGGAGGTGGAGAAATAGTGGGTGGTTGAGGGCTCTTCGTTGACTGGATTTAATTGACTTTCTTGGCCCGTGGCCTTGAACAGTGGCCTTTTTCGATTTAATATTTAAAAACAAAAAATGAGAGGAGTATTGAAATGATGGAGAAATCAAAGAAATTCATTTCTTTCATTATTTCATTATTTTTATTTACGATTTTTGTGGGTTACTTTGGCAGCTTTTTTCGAGCAACTGTTATTTTTTCTCTTGAGTCAAATAATTTTTTTGTTTATTTTCCTTTGGGTTTATTTTAGCTCTGTCGTAATCACAATGTCAGGAGATTAATCAATTTACAATCAAACGAAGCCTCGGGTTATGAGAATTTCTAAGAAATTTTCTCTCCAATCTTTCGTTTCTTTTTTAGTTTATTCATAGTCATTCAAAGCTTTATTCTCAATTGATTGTATTGATTTTTTGCATGATTTGGGTTTTGGTAATTCAGATAATTGTACGTCAAAGTTTCATCGAGATGAATTCCACCAGTGAACGTGAGAATTCATTAAAGTCTCGATATTGGAGTTCAAAATTAGCCAGAATTGTCAGTGATTTATATTATTTTCGCTGAGATGCACTTTAAATTTGTTCAAATCTACAATCCATCGAGCCTTTCAGGTATACTGACCGAATAAATAGGATTTTTTCTTATTTCCTTTCGACATAAACTTGTAAAAAAAAAAACGATAATGTATAGATTCACAATGTAAATAGCATTTATCGTGTAGATGGAAAAACAAATATATCTATATTATACATACTTATATATATGTATCAATGAATATGTGAACTTCATGATAGTGATGAGAAAATCCCTTGTGAGGTCGTAGCGCTAATTATTTCTAATTATTAGACATTAGCGAAGATGGAAATATCAACAACAGAGATTAAAAAATTCTTGTAAATAATTAGTCGAAATAGAATGTGAGGTAATGAATAAAAACAATAAAAATCATTGTGAGGTGGAGAAACGAGAAACTTAATACGAGTGAGAGGTGTGGAAGTGATTTTTCTGCGGCGTCCGAATAAATACATTAGTATCTCATTCAGGAGCATTGAAGTAAATTAGTCGAAATAATATGTAAAGCATTAAATATGGGGAATCGAGAATTTTCGTGAATTTGTATGGGAAAAGTTGAATAAAAAAAAATTCTATATTTAAATGAAAAATATACGGAACAAATTTAGTCAGAGTAAAAGCAGAAAATGAAAAAAAAATAATAATGACTACTAATGCTTAGATTTAATAAGGAATACATATTACATGGAGATGAAAACGCTTATATTCTACATTCGTGGAAAGAAACAAAATTATTGAATGAAAAATCACATGAGAAATTTATCCTAGAGGTGTATATTAATTATTGTGATACGGAAAACGAACAAAGATTAATGGAAAATAATTATTCTGGAGTGCATGGACATGATTCTCCAGTTATTTTCTCAATGAAATTTTTCTAATCGTCGACTTTTGTTCTCAGTACAATTTTATATCGATTAAAGCATCAATTCATCGCCAAACGCACATGAAATTCAGTGTCCAGTGCTCCAGAATAAGAGCGAACATCTTCGTTGATTATGTGAAGAAAAAAAAAACGTTAACCTGTATAAAACGAAAGAAAAAGACTAAGAAATCTTATAATTTACAGACTATTATCAGAGGTCGTAGGCACCGAGATAATCCCAGGATCCAATTGGAGCCTATCCCAATTTGTATAAAATTCGATAACGAAAATAATAAAAAAACAAACCGGCAACAAAATTTGTAAGATAAAAATAGACAGAGGTGGGTACTGTTTCATGGCGCCGTCTGGAAGAGTAGAGGAAGTTTAATAAGAGACTTTAAAACCCGTAGGTGAAGGCAAAGCCTTCATACCAGGAATAGGAAGACAAAGGAGAAGGAGATAAGAGAACTTATAATTATGTACTGGTTAAAAATCCATAGGTATTTTAACTTCATTACTTTCTATTTTAAAATCCATCTCACCCACTCCTCCGTTTTTATATTATTTCTCTATCATCATCATGTAGAAAATATTTCATTAGGATTAATAAATTTTCATTTCCGTGACCTGGTTTAATGTTAGTCGTATGAGAGGATTGAAAGAGGATAAAAGTAACATGTAAAAATGTTTCTTTTGCTGTCTATTTAATTACATAATGATTTATGGATTCACATGGAGGATTGTAACTTGATGATGATTCAAGTACTATTAAGTATACATACTTTGTGTAACATAAATATAATGAACTAATAAAACACGATAAAAAATCTTGGAACAGATTTCTCTGGTTTTCATTCAGTCTTTGAAATAAGATTATTAACCAAATAATGACAAGTATTTTTATTCATTGTGTTATATTCAATTTGCCACTTGTTAATGCAATATTCTTAATGACCTGAATCATTCTTCTTCAGTAAATAGTAAAAACCATCATTATTTTAATGAACCAGAATTTATTCTAATGAACAATTTATGTTGGATAACTAATAAAGGGAAATAAAGTGGAATTTCATTCGCTGCTATTGTTGTGTAAATAAAAAATCAGTAAAAATTGATAAGTGTCGGTAAATGACAACAGTCTGTTGACCAGCTGAGCAGTCGAGATGAGTTCGCCATGGGAATGGACTGAGTTCTGAGTTCAGTGTCGCGTCGCCAAGCGACGAGAGAACAACTCGAGTGTTTACCATCGACTTTTATCCCAAAATAAAAAGCCTCTCTCGGATCACTGAAATCAAAACAACGAGTAAAATGAAATAAATCGCCAAGTCGATGAAAACGGAATAATCACACAGTGAGAAAATAATGTGGACTAGAAAATGGGAAATTTAGCCACTGCGGTGAGATTCGCTGCAGCTTTGTTGCCTTATCTTGTGGATTACGTCCAGGGAAACGAGGAAACACCAAGAGGTAAGGATTTATGATGATACTGGGATGTAATGGACTTGGAGGATACCCTCGGTGTCATGTGCCACGTGCTGACAAATCCTATTCCTGCATTTGTTCTCACGATTATTGAAATTCTTTTGCAATTGCTGATACTTTCCCTCAGACGCTGAGAGATGTTAATCAAATGCAAATGTTTATTTAATATTTTTTAAGTACTTCATACAAGTAATTATTGTCAATCAATTCATTCAATTGAAATCGATTAATTAAGGGAGAAAAAATATATCTTGCATCACCAGAACTTGTATTGTAACATGAAAGTTAATTTATTGTATTTAGAAGAGGAATTATTTGAGTCAAATAAACAGACTTATTTGACATTAATTATCTTTTCTATCCGATGTTAAAAATGTTGGGTTGATTTACTGCATTTTGCAGAGTAATTAGTGCAATTGTCGTGCGCAGGAACTGCAGTGATTACTTTCTACAAAAATCAGATAAAACATTTGTAAAAGTATCACAGGGACTTTCAAGACTCACGTACTCCGATTTCACGAAAACATTGGTAAAATGCATATTTTTCCAATTGTTTAAAGAAATATCACTGACTTGAATTTATCGTGGTAAATATGTGGACGAGAACTGGTCGTATTTTGGACAGATACAGTGAATTTTTCCATTCCAAAAATAACCTGGAAATAGAAATTCTCCAATGATGGAGTTAATAGAGTGGTTGGAGTAATATCTAATCACTTCCGGTGGATGTTATAGTGTACGTGTTCTGAGGACTACCCTCTAAACCTAGAGTGTTAATGCCTGAGAATTACAGTGAAGTTGACTTCCCATTTCCTGTTTCTTTAGGACATCCCTTTCCGGATACAATTGTTATCTCACATTGCAGTGTCATTACATGTATCTTTCATAGTACTCCGATAATTATCAATTACAACTCTTATATCATTACCACCCTGTCCTAATTATTGAAATCGATTCCTCAGGCCACTGGTAAAAAATGTATTTTCTAAAATATATTTAATAGCTACAAAAAAAATATTTTTCATTAGTAGATCTCATGGAAATATTTATATAGATCTACTGGTGGGAAGTCAATATATTTGAGAAAAGAAATTTTCTTTTCTCAGTGTATTTCACTTCCCAAAAATGAGCCCTGAAAATATATCAAATCGACAATTTTCCCTGGCCAACTGCAATTTTCTATTTTTTATTACTAAATTTGATTATAAAATGAAATTTTATTAATAAATTTGAACGGGAACTTTGAATATTTTCTGAATATCGAGTAAATAAAAATTCTTTTGGATTATTGGATAATTATCATTATAACAAGAATTATTCGTGTATCCGTCAATTTCCGTGATTCAGGTGCTGCTTTGATATTTATTATTGATAATTCTATTTAATCAATTCACCTGATAGATAGTAAGGATTACCGAAGGGGAAAATCCTGGCATTTATGAAGAGAAAAATCTCAACTCGACGTATATGAAATGAGGAAATGTGTAGGGGATATTTTTTGAGCCCAGTGAAAGGAGCATGAATGCTCATTCATGGATAACGTGTTTAGTTTTTTGCTATTTATTCCTTAGTTGCTTTATTTGAATGAATAAAATGAGGGTCTCGGTGTTACTTAAGGATGTCTAGTCACGGGGTTCTCGCGAACTTTTAAAACAGGTGATGATTTCGACACATCAGGTCAAATAAATATGAAGAAAACAAGACCTATCAATTAATTAACCTTACTCAATCATTCCTTAATTAAATTAAGGAATTTAATATTCATAAAGACTTTTTCAATTTATTCTTCTAAGAAGTTATAAATTAATTAATTAATTATTGGTGACTATGAAAAAATATAAAATCATCCAAAATTGGTAGAATCTCTCAATGTTTATCGTTTTCTTTTTGGATAAAAAAAAACGAATCAACATTGTTGACAAAAATCCATGGAATACCCAAGGCTTCTTCAAGTATGATTTTGTCCCTGACCGCGGTAGAATGACAGAAGGCCGGATGTTGATTGTCTCGGATCGCTCCCTGGCTGATGTCAACGGGCGATAGAAACTGCTCTCTTATTCCGCACCGAGAAATTGTAGGCAAGAGTAGCAAGGTCATCTCCTAGATTCAATGAAGAATTCCTTCTCATCCTCAATTCTCTGATTTCAACAATTTCACTTCAGAACGCTTCAACCAGAACGTTTCAGCTATCACAAAAATTTGTGGAATTAAATTAAAAAATTGTCTTGCCGTATAATTTTTTGGGAATTCCATTCATTCAATGGTGACTGTCTTGAGAACTCATCAGTGTCCAGGAGAACGTTGACCGCATGGTAGAATCAGCTCATATCATGAGTTGGCTCAAATTACGAGTATATTAGTTACATCATCTGAGGGGATTGATGAATTACCAGGCGAATCGCACAGGCATTCGATGCCAAGGTTTTCTTCTTGATGAAGACAATTTGAAATGACTCAACGTGACTTGAAGTCAAGACATTTTTCATTCACTCCGAATTTCGTGGAATCCTCACGATACTTTCTTTCTTAGAATTTTTTCCCCATTCACCAGAACATCCACGATTTGTGGAAAATTTCTTCCAAAAATTCGAGAATTTTTCCCAATTTTTTAGGGAACCGCGCTTTTTGGAGAATTAGACATTTTCCATAAAAATATAAAACATTAAAAAAATCATGAGATAACAACAGAAAGTGCACTATTCACTTTCTCTTGAGATCTATTATCCAAAAACGACAATAAATTGTGCAAATGATTACGGATTTATCCCATGAGCCACATCTAGTGCACAAAATCAATTTATCCGATATAAAATCGCAATGAGTCGGGAAAAATAGCCAATGGAAAAGACCAATCGGCCCAGTTAACGACTGGATTAATCTATGAATTTATAATTGAATTTCCTCCAACTTATCGCCAGCGGTGTTTACATTTGCATTGAGATCAACATTTATTCAATTAAGCGGTCAGAATAAAAGTACGAATTATCATAGAATGCGGTGTCACGCTCGGTCTGAGTCGCCGGTTCTTATCAATGTTGTACGACCCCTGCAGCTATCGTCGCCAAGGATTAAAAATAAAAATAAAAACCTGAGGATATTTCCATTAGTATCAACCGCTGATAGTCGACAGCACGACCATAAGAATTAAAAAAACCAGGAGCTCCAAGTGACTTCTATTCACCTACATGACTGCTTCATGTTTTATAAATCCCTGTACCGTTTTATTCTAGGAAAAGCGAGTGACTAACCCCGCTTTTGTCCAAAGCATAGAGCCAGTGGTGACCCAATGGGTTTTACCTCGACTAAAGTGACCCACATTTCGTTCATTACTGGGTTCATACTGTCTGCATGAACTTCTTCGTTTCAAGAATTAGTCTCTCGTTTGGAATACCTCTTCGGGTTCTCCACTTTCTACCAAAATTCTAGCTAGACGAAAGGAAAAAATATACTCAATTATAGTATTCATTTTTTCCGACTACATTTATCAGAAATTATCACCTAATAAATGGTCTCATTTCATTTGAATAATTTGGTAAAAAACCGACAATAAAATATATAAAATTATTAAATTTTAAGGGCGTCGAAGGAAAATAGAAAAAATATACAAAAATTCCCAATAAAAATCGAAAAAAGAAGACTATAAAAATGAAATGATAATGATAGCAGGTGTAATGACTGGAAATCAATGACTCTTTTGAAAATCATCAGTTGACTTTCTCACTGGAATGTCTGAAAGAAAATATTGTGTAGAAAAACCTAATAGTTTTTTTTTCGAATAATTTATTCTATTCACATATTTTCTATAGAAATTCCTCGCACTCCAATTGTGCATCCCCTTGAATTCTTCAATTTTCGACGGTGAAAAATTGAGCTTGAATGCGAAGAATTCCCATAGAAAACATTTCAATGAAAGAAATTACATAAATAAATTATATAACAAATAAAGCATCACCCTTCTTCATGTTCTTCATATTGAAAAACAGAGAAAAGTTTAGGGAATGTCAATATAATTAATAAAAAATTGATGGATTTTTTGTTATAAAAAATGTGAGAATATTAATTATTTCTTTTGACAGCCAATTTAACATATAACTTCGACAAAACTCGATTCTATTTTCAATCTCCAAATTGAATTATTTGTAGATGCAATCAGCCAAATCCAATTGATCATCAATCCCATTACCCGATCTGGAATAAATAATTGAAAAATTCAATGAAACCACATGTGGTGCTCGCGTGAGTAGAAACGAACTAAATATAACGGGGAATTATGTGGGGCAAAAGAATTATATCACACGTTTCGCATTCCACGATAATTACGTAACAAAACGAAATACGATTAATAAAATGAGAGATGGTGGAACGTGATAATTCCGCCAAACCATTATCACTTATTTCCTCATTTTTTCATCACCTTCTGTATCATTACACAAGTAACTGATTTTTTTTTTTTCGTACGTGAGTGGGTAATTGTGGAATACAGCTGAGGAAATGAAATATTTCTCTAAGAACTTTCTTTTTGAAAAATTACAGTGGCTTTTTGTAGCAATTTTGCAACTTTCAGAATCCCATGGGAAATCGCGTGCGAGAAAATTTTACAACAAATCTAATAATCTAAAGTAATTCTATGAATTCATATTTAATATCCTAGTTTTTGTTTTCTTATAAAATTTATTCGGTTTATGTACTTTCGAAATTCCTCGACGTACATTTTTCAATTCTTTATTCTGATTTTCCGGTTTTCTCTAACGGAAAATATTGGATATTATAATGTAACAAGTGGAGAATTACTCTTACATTACACGTAGTATATTTATATTTGCTAATAAATTAACAGTACGCTTCTGTGCGTGTGATTATTCTGTTTTTTATCACGTGCACTTTTCGAGCTATTAAATGCTTTCATTTGAAAAAATAAGTACGACTAAAGTGCTAGTTTGATTGAATTATGATTTTTTCATTGTGGTTTGAATAATTATAACACC